AAAACAGTCATCTGATTTCTCAACAGAAACATTTCAGGCCAGAAGGGATTAGCACAAACTATTCAAAATGATGAAAAGGAAGGACCTACAAACAAGACTACTCTTCCCAGCACGGCTATTATTTAAAATTGAAGAAGAAATGAAGAGCTTCCAAGACAAAAAAAAAAGCTAAAGGAGCTGATCACCATAAAACCAGTATTATAAGAAATGTTAAAGAAACTTTTTAAAGAGCAAGAAAAAAAAAAAAAAAAGGAGGAACACAAATAATGTAATAAAACATCAATAAATATGTACCTATCAATAATCACTTTAAATGTAAAAAGATTAAATGCTCTAATCAAAAGGCATAGGGTACCTGAACAGATAAGAAAACAAGACCCATATATGTGTGTTCTACAAGAAACACATTTCAGATAAAAAGATACAAACAGACTGAAAGTAAGAGGATGAAAAAATGTTTCATAAAAATGTAAATGAAAAAAAGCTGGGGTAGCAATACTTATTTCAAACAAAACAGTCTCTAAAACAAAGGCTATAATAAGAATCAAAGGACATTACATAATGATAAAGGGATCAATCCAACAAGAAGATATAACCCTTGTAAACATGTACACATTTAACAAAGGACCACCTAAATATATAAAGAAAATCTTAATGGACATAAAGGGAGAAAGCAACAGTAATACAGTAACAGTATTATACAGTAACACCCCATCAACAAGGAACTATTGCCCTTAAATGACATACTAGATCAGTTGGGCTTAAATGATATTTTCAGAACATTTCACCTCAAAGAAGCAGAATATACATTCTTTTCAAGTGCAAAGAGAACATTTTCCAGAATAGATCACATGTTAGGCCAAAACAAGTCTCAATACATTTCAAAAGAATGAATCATATATCAAGCATCTTCTCTGACCATAGTTGGTATGGAACTAAAAATCAATTATACCCAAAAAACTGGCAAGCACACAAAAACATAGAAGTCAAATAACATGTTACTAAAGAATAAACAGGCTAACAATGAGTCATGAAATTTACAAAAAAAAAAAAGCCTTGAGACAAATGAAAATGAAAATCTATGAGACACAGCAAAATCAGTCCTAAAATTAAAATTCTTAACAATATAGCCCTACCTCAAGAAACAATAAAAATCTCAAAACAGTTTAAATTATACCTAAAGGAACTAGAAAAAGAACTGATAAAGCCCAAAATGAGTTGTAGGAGGAAATAACAAAGATTAGAATGGAAATAAATGTAATAATACCTAAATATATATATATATAAAAGATCAATGAATCCAAGAGCTGATTCTTTGAAAAAAAATAAACAGAACTGATAAACCTTTAACAAGACTCATCAACAATAACAACAAAAGAGAGAGAAAGAGAAAGAGAGAGAGAAGCCAATTTAATAAAATCAGAAATACAAAGAATTAGAAGAAAATATTGTGAACAACTACATGCCAACATTTTGGACAATCTGGAAGAAATGGATAAATTCTTAAAATATGCAATCTTACTAGACTGTATCAAGAAGAAACAGAAAATCTGAACAGACCAATTACAACCAATGACATTAAAGGAGCAATCAAAGCACTCCCATAAAACAAAAATCCTGGACTAGATGACTTCACAGGTAAATTTTACAAAACATTCAAGAAGAACTAACACCTGACTTTCTCAAATTATTCCCAAAAATTCAAGAAGAGAGAAGACTCCTCAGCCCATTTTATGCAGCCAGCATTATCCTAATTTCAAAAGCAGATAAAGACACTACAAAGTAAGAAAACTATAGGCCAATATCCCAGATGACCATAGATGTAAAAATCCTCAACAAAATATTAGCAAACTGAATTCTCCAATACATTAGAAAAATTATACACCATGATCAAGTGGGATTTATTCCTGAGATGAATGCAAGGTCAGTATAATATGTGCAAATCAATTAACGGAATATACCACATTAACCAAATAAAGGGTAAAAATATGATCATATCAATAGATGCAGAAAAAGCATTTGACAAAACTCCGCTCTGATTTATTATAAAATATCTGAGCAAAGTGGGAATACAGGGAACATCTCAACATAATAAGGGCCATATATGACAAACCCACAGCTAATATCATACTCAACAGAGAACAACTAAAAGGTGTTTCCCTTAAAATCCAGAATAAAACAGGGATGTCCACTTTGACGACTCTTATTCAGCACAATATTCTAAGTCCTAGCCATAGCAATAAGACAAGAAAAAGACATCCAAAATGAAAAAGACGTAATTATTTGCAGATGATACTGTATATAAAGAACCCTAAAGATTCCACCAAAAAACTACTAGAAATGATAAGCAAATTCAGTAAAGGAGCAGAATAAAAAATAAATATTCATAAATTGGCTTCATTTCTATACATGAATGAACTATCAGAAGGAAAAATCAGAAAAAAATCCATTTACAATTGCATCAAAAAAAAAAAGTACTGCCCTGGCCAGTTTGGCTCAGCGGTTAGAGTGTCCACCTGCGGACCTGACTTCGGCTCCCGCTAAGGGCACGTACCTCAGTTGCAGTTTGTCTCCAACCCTGATTGGGGTCATGTGGGTGGTGACCACTTGATGTGTCTCTCTCACATCGATGTTTCTCTCTCTCTCTTCCTCCCTCTCTCCCTCCTGCTCTATCTGAAGATAAATGCAAAAATGTCCTCGGGTGAGGATGACAAAAAAATACATACATATATATATATCACCTAGGAATAAATTTAACCAAGGAGGTAAAAGACCTGTACTTGGAAAATTATAAGACACTGAAGAAATAAACTGAAGAAGAAACAAGTAAATGGACATATATACCATGCTCATGGGCAGGAAGAATTAAAATCATTAAAATGTCTAGTATACCCAAAGCAATCTATATATTCAACATAATTCCTCTCAAAATACCCATGGCATGTTTTAAATAAGTAGAATAAATAATCCCAAAATGTATATGGACTCATAAAAGTCCCAGAATAACCATCGCAATCTTGAGGAAGAAGAATAAAGTTGGAGGTATCACGTTACCTAATATCAAACTATAGTTCAATGCTATAATACTCAAAACAGCATCATACTGGCATAAAAACACATCTAGATCAATGGAACAGACTAGGGAGCCCAGAAGTAAACCCACACCTATTTAATATATGACAAAAGAGGCAAGAACATACAAAGGGGTAAAGACAATCTATTCAATAAATAGTGTTGGTAAAATTGAACATATGAATACAAAAAATATTAAACTAGACCACTTTGTTACACCAGATACAAGAAAAAACTCAAAGTGGATTAAATACTTAAATATAGCACTCAAAACTACAAAACTCCTAGAAGAAAACATAGGCAGTAAAAATCTCTGACATTTCTCTTAGCAATATTTATTTCTGATATATCTCCTCAGGCAAGGAAATCAATAGAAAAAATAAACAAATGAAACTACATACAACTAAAAAGTGTTTGCACAGCAAAGAATAGCATCAACAAAATGAAAAGAAACCCACTGAATGGAAGATGTTCACCAATAATACATATTGCATAAGGGATTAATATATAAAATTTATAAGAAAATCATATAACTCAACACCAAAAAAAATAAGTAATCCAATTATGACTGAGAAAGGATCTGAATAGACACTTCTCCAAAGATATACAGATGACCAATAGATATATAAAAAGATGCTCCAAGTTATTAATCACCAGAAAAATGCAAATGAAAACCATGATGAATAATATCACCTCACACCTGTCAGAATGGCTATCATCAATAAATTAACAAACAACAAGTGTTAGCGAGGATGTGGAGAAAAAGGAACCTTCATGTACTGTTGGTGTAATGCACTATAAAAAACATTATGGAGTTTCTTCAAACAAAAATGGAATTGCCTTATGACCCAGTAATTCCACTTCAGGGGATTTATCCAAAGAAACCCAAAACACTAATTCAAAAGAATACATGCACCCCTATGTTCATTGCAGCATTATTTACAAGAGCCAAGATACAGAAGCAAACTAAGTGTCTACTGACACATAAATGGATAAAGTTCACACACACACACACACACACACACACACACACACACACACACAGAAAGACAATGGAATATTAGTTATAAAAAAGAATGACATCTTGCCATTTGCATTTAAGAGCACATGGATGTTTTACTAAGTGAAACAAGTATGACAGATAAAGGCAAATATTGTATTATTTCACTTAAATCTGGTATCTAAAATGCAATATAAACAAAGAAACAAAACAGATTCATAGATACAAAAAACAAACTGATGGTTGCTGAGGGAAGCAGGGTGAAATGAGCAAAATAAAGGGGATTAGAGGTACAAATTTCCAGTTATATATGAGTTATGGGGATGTAATATACAGGTTATAAAATATAGTCAATAATATTGCAATAATTTTGTATGGTAACAGATGGTTACTAGACTTAATGTGGTGATCATTTTATAAAGTATTTAAATGTTATACACCTGTAACTAATATAATATTGTAAGTCAACTGTACTTCATAGAAGGCCTTTAGTTTAAGATGTAGAGCAGAAGTAAAAACAACTTTGAATTTAAGACTCCCACCTTCATATTTTTAACAATATGTTAAAGTCACCTAAACTACATGACAGTAAAGTACCTCCCAAAAAGTGACCTCAATGATATTCAAAGAGACTTATTACACAGAAATGTGTTTCTTCTAATGAGCACTGGGAGGGACAGCAGAGATGCATTATAGAGAGACATGAGAAAACTATTGTGGGTGACAGATATACTCCTTACCTTGATTGAAGTGATGATTTTATGAGTATATACATATGTCAAAATTTATCATACCGTATACTTTAAATATGTGTAGTTTGTCATATTTCAAGTATGCCTCAATAATGATATAAATTTATATATATCAAAACAACCATTGAACTACTGTAGTTAAGGGCAGAGAAAAATAGGTTCTCTAGCTTTTTTACCTGAGATCTCTTGGGATCAATAAATTGAGAAATCTTGTAAACAATTTCATCAAATGTTAGTTCAGATAAGGACTTCCCATGAGCATCCTTCAACTTTAGTAAGAAATCTGTAAGCTCCTTTCTGGAATAGATAAGAGAAAAAGCAGTGGTGATTTTCCCTACTGCCTTGAGGATGTGCTCCCCAAACAAGATATAAAATCCTATTGTGTGATAGATATTTATCATATAGACATGACCCTTTATATCTCCCATCTAAAAAGGTGATCACAGGTCAATCTGCATTTATCTTAAACCAAAATGAAAAGCCCTAATGTTTTATTAAGATACTAAATATATTCATGAGTGATAAAATTTAGTATTTATTTTCTTTCAAAAAGATATTTGAACTGTTTTTGAAAGCTCACTGTGTGAAATTTGTTTCTCTACTTATTTATGTACTGAGCTCTTTATGTCCCATCTCTCAATGCTCTCTTACTAGGACAAAATACTCCTTTTTAACTATGTTACCATTGGTCTTTCTCTCCTTTATCACTCTTAACAGTTTTACTTTTGTAAAACTCAGACACAGAAAACAAATATTAAACAGAACAGGAAAGAAAAGGTTAAAAGACAAATTAAATTTTTTAAAAACCTACGAAGATTTTAATTGATAGGGTCTTTTTCAATTCTCATGGTCCATTGACCCAAAGCCTGTACATACATTTTGGTACAATAGTAATAATTGTAACAGAGTTCTATTTTCATTATCTACTCATGATGATATTTATAAAACCATAGTCCATCCTGGAGTATAACAGTACATATATTAAATAAAAGGACTGGTCTTCAAATAAAAATATTTCCTTGGATACAAGAGTAAAGATAAAAGAAACTTCATTTCTCAAGGAATGGAATTATCTTTCTACTAATGTCAGAATTGTGAAAAGAACAGTAAAGTTACGATTTCTTATAATTTCTTGTGTTGCCTAATAAACCATGACCCTCAATAAAATTAAGAAAATAGGAAGGTGAAACCTAATCATGTTTGGGTTATAAGGCACACTATCACCTTAAAATTCACTTTGGAAATAGGTTATTAAGATAATTATTGCAGCTGATGGCATTAAAATTGGGTAAGTTTACAACTAGTTGCACTTTCAGTCAATGAGCACAGCTGAATTTAAAAATGCATCTTGTTACTTAACACTAGTAACTTCAGTGAAGAGGTTTAGCATTTATACTGAACACAATCCCTTCTTGACACATTTCATTTTCCTTACCAAGACTGTGGTAAGGAAATGTGTGTGTGTGTGTGTTTCTCTGAAATATTTCATTGCTGTAATTATGGCTATGGACTGTAGATGATCTGCAATCACCACTAAATATAAACTAAGGCACCACAATATAAACTAAGGTACCTGGTCTGTTGTGGAAAGGCAGTTTTCAGTCTGTCTGTAATCCTCTCCCAATGCATCATGGGGGGATCACTGCCCAGACCTGCACTGGGATGCACAGCCTCTCCCACAGGTGCCGGCACAGTCCAGGCTATGCCAGTCATCTGTAAAGAACACAGAGTAATAACCCATCGGCTTCAATTATTAGGAAGTAACATTCCATGCCAACATGACATTTCAATGCTTCAGAAAATGGGTAGAATAAAGAAGAGAAATATTGACATACGCATACCCTTTTCAGTTTTCTCTTAACTAGTACAATATTTCTAATTGTTTATATTACCCTATTTTAAAAATTGGACATACTAGTCTCAGTAATTGCAAACATGTACAAAAATAATATATAGGGTGTTTATTTCAGTATATACAGAAAAAGCTGTAAACCAATCTGTAATTAGTGATTATTTCCTAGGATTCAATTGCAGGGCAATTTTGTTTCTTCTTCATGTATTAGTATTATATATTTTGTATATTTATATATTATTTGTTTTATGATTAGCATGTACTACTTTTATAGTTAGAAAAATAATAAAGTTGCATTTTCAAACAACTGAATAAAGATAAGAATACTACTAGAAAGTCTGCCCAATAGAATGTTATGAGGGTGGAATGGAAGTTGTAGTGACACCTCTGAGCCATGAAACCAAAAAAATTTCCCCCATATTTTATGGTAGTTCCTTATTAGAACAATTAGGATTCTAATTAATATCAACAAGTGAGTATTTTTGGAGTGCTAATCTGATTACTACAATAATTATAAACATGGCATCTTTTACCTAAGACTCTACAGGTAATTTTCATATATAAGATTACTACTCATAAAAACAAACAACTATTAACAGCCATTGAAATAACTCATACAAAGCCTAGGAAGTCAGAGAAGGAGTAGGATATTGCTCAGAAATCAGGGTTTGCCTCAGTATCAAGCTTTTTCCCAGCAATCAGAAAGTAATCCTATTAAAAGGCAGAGTGACTTTAGTGTTTTTCAATAAAATTTACCATAGTTCCTTATAGAACAGAGCTGTGAAATCATGGTGATAAAAAGATGTGGTACTTAACATATTTGCAGAGAGGCAGCCTCTTGAAAAATAAGCAGAGTCCCTCAGACTATATATTTCAAAGGGAGAATGTTAGCAATAAATAGGTACAAAAAAATCTGACTAGAATGTACTTATGGGAAAGTCAAAATTAGATAATTTTCATTAATTATATTTAACATAATTTGGGAAAATATTTTTCTTTTAATAAAAAAGTTTACCTTACCGAAGTTTACAATGAATAATTCTATTCATTTTAAAGTTCTCTATTGCTTCTTCAAATCTGGATAAGGTTTATCTAGCAATTTGTAGCTAGGAAAATTTATAACTTTACAGTATAATATATTCCAAGGTGATGCTATTTATATTGTGTTTATAAACACTGTCCTATTATATATTCATGTGTGTGTTTAAATTTTTTCTTTAGCCTTGTAGCATAATTTAGTTTGCTGTGACTTGGATTTTTTTGCTTTTCAACCTACCCATCAATCATGCTAAATATAAATTATCCATTAAAATATCAATCTAACCATTATTGCTGCCAGTTATAGAAGCAAAGAGTAACTGTAAGAATTTTCTACTATAAAAACATATTTATCTTTGTACTAAAAAACTAAGCTAATATCAGTTAATGAAATAATATATGTAACATCCTTAGCACAGTGCCTCACATGAAACTGTTTATTCAGTTATCATTCAGTCATCATCATTTATCAAATAAATGAACAAAGAAAAGACAGACATTCATTCTGGAAATCCACTGCAGTGATAAAGAACTAGTTAATATCTATTCCACCAAAAAGGGCTCTGTACCAAGGGGGGTCTAGGTTGGCCAGCTGCAGAGATGACTCCATGACAAACAGCAGGCATTTGAGGAACAGTGAGCACGGGTCTAAAGACAGATTCTTTCACAAGGGGTCTTCCCAAGAACTGCTGCATCTAAAATAGAAACAGTAAAAAATAAAAACATCTATTCATATGGGCAATGATCTAAACTCATGGAGCAATGTTTGGGGAAAAGACTGATTTAAAATGTAGTTATCAAGCACAATAGAAACAACGCTGTCATAAAATTAGTTAAATATATGAATATTTAAATAGTAAAGGTCAGTAAAATATACTAAAGAAAACTGAGAGAAAAGAGAACAGAGTTCTATTCCCACATTTTTTCCACGTAGCTGCATAACCTTGGATGCCAACTCACTAATCTATAAAATAAGAGTTGGGTTAGGTATCTTTAAGGTTCCCTTCTATCTGAAGATAAATGGAAAAATGTCCTTGGTTGAGGGTTTAAAAAATAAATAAAATGAGTACCAGTTTAGCTCTTAAGTAATGATCCTAAAACAACAGGTAAAAGGTTAATGAAGAACTTATTGGATTGCTTTTTTAAAATAAGGGTTTCAAATAAGGGTAATTATAACCAAATTGGAAATATTGTAGAGCTAGGTAAGAAAAAGACATTTTTGGGACAACTGGCATAATATAAAATTTAAGTAGATATTATTAAAAATAATTTATAATTCTTAGAAAAATGGTGTTATGATTATATCCAATAATATGAGTCCTCATCTTTTAGGAATACATACTAAAGTGTATATGGATGAAAGTATAAGATATGTAAGGTTTACTTTAAAATATTCCAGCCCTGGTCGGTTTGGCTCAGAGGTTAGAGCATCGGCCTGTGGTCGAGAGAGACACGGGTTCGGTTTCCGCTAAGGGCATGTACCCCGGTTGCAGTTTGTCCCCCACCCTGGTTGGGTCGTGTGGGTGGCAGCCACTAGATGTGTACCTTTCATGTTAATGTTTCTCTCTCTCTCTCTCTTCCTCTCTCTCCCTCCCGCTCTATCTGAACAAAAAATGAAAAAATGTCCTCGGGTGAAGATAAAAAATAAATTAATAAAATAAAGTAAAATAAAATATTCCAGTGGGAGGAAGAAAGAGATGAGATAAACAAAAAGACTGACAAAATGTTGAAAGTGTGTTAAAGTTGGTTCTAGGGTTCACAGAGGTTCATTATACTACTGTATTTTCATACATATTTTATATTTTCATAACATAAAGTTCTTAAAAAATGAATAAATGGTGGGTACTGAGTCAAAGGACCTGCTCTCTTTGAGGACAGTTATTACCAAACACTACTTTGAGGATTAGATAGCCAGGATACAGAAATAAAAATATAATGAAACACATTAAAATACTGGGTTAAATTGGGAACCCATTATTCCAGACTTCTCAGATTAAACTATCATATAGTTAAAACCTGGAACCATTTCTTACAGTACTAGAATCTCAGAGATTGATGGACTGTAGTGATCAGACCAACTAGTACAATTTCCTGGTCTATAAATGAGAAAACCTAAGTCCAGAACAGCTCATTTTCTGAAGACTAGCATAGTTCTTCAGAGTTAGGACCTGAACCCAGATCTCTAGTGTATTTCCATTGTATAATACCACCTTAAATTATAGTAAACAGTATATTCACATTTCTAGCATTTGTGCTTTCAAACTGTTCCACTGATGCTCAGTAGTCACTGATACCTGCACTTTAACATAATGTCAGCTTTGATCAAGCACAGCATGACTCTGTTAGGAAGACAAAAGACAAACGTATACCTCTCAGACGTTAGCAGAAGGATGCTTATGAATTCTATAGGGCCTAACTGCCAGTGGGTTTATGCCCTAGACCAAACCTGCATCAGAACTAAAACAGTAGCTGCATCAGAACCAAAACAGACTCTGAAGGAATAAGGATATAGAGGTCAAATTTTGCCTATGTTTGTCAGCTGCACAATATCACTGGTATCAGAGACAGTTTATTCTGATCTGATCCCAGGAAACTCCAAAAAACAACTCTATAACCAACTTTTTAGTCTCTGGAGCCATTTTATATTTAGAGCTATCGGAGAGTTTAAATACAACCTATAAGCCATAGTTTGAATATGGGCAGAAGGCACAGGGTTCCTAGAAATCCTACCAAGAATATGTTACTTTCTGTTGAATTACAGGGAATCTCTGGAGTTTTTTGGTCATCTATGTAACACAATTCTTATCATAAGTTGGGTATAATGGTGCTCCACACTCAAAATGATAATATCCATAATACAGTACTCCTACAAGAAGCAGACTAACGAAAATATAACTAAAGTCCAGAGTGTGTGTCACACAATACTTTCAGCTTTGGACTCTGCCTTTGAAATACAGTGAAAATCCATACAATATACATATTTTTTAAATTATTTAATTTATTCAGCCATTTGTAGAAATAACAAGTTCTTCTACAAGCAGAAGTGCTGATGTCAAAAGTAATCTGCCCCTAAATATCTCACACCTTTTTTTCTTTTCCTACCCCCAGATCTGTTATGATAATAAAAATTGTCACCTAATGGTTCTGTCCTAAAAGGCATTAGGAAAGCTGTATGTGTTTACTGAGTTAAGGTACTATGTTTCCCAAAAGGCTAACATAAATAGTATAGCATAGATATTAGTATGTCTGATTAAGACTCGTGGATCCCTATTAATAAGCAGGAAAGGGGCACAGATACAAGGTGTCCTTGCTATAAAAGGTAGAATGGAAAATAAAATTTAAGGAAAAGAGAGTCTAAAGTAGAAGTGGAGGGGTAAAGTCCAGCCTGCTAGGGTATTATGCTGAAGTGTTTCAGTCTCCTAGGGGTAACCTGAGTGCAATGAAAATTCTGAGCACTCATCAGGTTTCTCCCATGATGTAGGTGAGTGACAAAATGAATAAAAACATACTACCTCTTTAGATATCAAATGCATCACTAAAACCCAGTGATACAACCTATGTAAGTGGCCTCAGTTGAGCCAGCAAAATTAAATGGACATAATTACAAATGACAAGTACATTATGTGCCTATTCCATTTTGAATACACATTAAAAATACTGCATATTCAGTGTTTTATCAAGATAAAGATGAGAATTTTTCAAAATGTCATATTTCTTACCAGTATCTCAGGACTGGGTGGTGGTGGAGGAAGCTGGATTGGAGGCAAAGTACTCAAGGCAAATCCTTGCTTCACTTTGTTAATTTGTTCATTGTACTGTGTCTAGTAGAGAAAGAGAAACAATATTTTAAAGCAACTCAACTTCAAAAAACTAGCACATAGAAATACTTAACAGAGTTTTGAATAATACAGCATAGACAAGTGAGAATCTATTGTTAGAAATAATATAAAAACAATTTCTGACATAAAAACAATTCTATACAACATTATCCCTGAATATAAAGAGTTGTGTTTTTAGAAGTATCTGTTGATTGACAGGATACAGACACACACAATTCACAGATTCTCAATTTTCCATAATTTTGAGCCCCAAGCTGTGAACCACTGACATAAAATGAATAGAGTCTAAAGATTCAAGAAGCTATAAATAATGTACTGGCTGATAAATATGGGGAAAAAAAGTATCTTCAACAAGGAATTGGATTACTTGCAAATGTTTATTTTAAAACATAGAGGAGAAATTTTAGGGAATATTTTTAAAATATTCATATTTTGTTTATCTCAAAAGTTGTATCTCTAGCTTTCTCCAGTTCCAAATACACCTTTGTTTTATTCTCTTGGATTTTGCCAAAAGACTCTAATCCCTGAAACAATATGCTTTTAACATTTTTTTGGCATTGTCCCCGTTTTGTTTTACATATTATTTTGTAAACAAACCACAAGAGCTGGAAAAGAAAGTCTAAAGAAGCAAAACATTTAGAAACTTTCACACAGAGAATATGTGCTTGAAAGAAAACAAGGATACAAAACAAGGAGCAGCTCTTTTGAGGTGAGAACAATAAATAAACCCAACAGAAATGCTAAGCATCAGTAAAGACTGAGTAAGAAAGAGCCTGGAAGAGAAATAGTGGAGACCACAATAGAAAAGCTAGATAAGTAGTTAATGCTTTAAGGTAGCTCTTCACAACTGAATGTCATTGTTTGTGCTGTGAAATCACAAAACAATCAACATGATATGTGAACTTGAAGATATAAATACAAAAATTTCCAAAAACCAACTGAATAAATTAATAAACATTCAGTGGACTACTTCCTTACATTACCTTTATGATAGTCCTAATAGTATTAAACCAATAATTAAGAATTTATTGTTTTGCATTATGAAATAATTACATCAACGTTGAGACTGAAGACTAATACAGGTCTGCTTGATCTTCCTTTTTTTTTTTTTTTTTTTGTAATCCTCACCCGAGGATATTTTTCCTTTTTTTTTTTTTGTACAGATAGAGAGGGAGGGAGAGAGAGGAAGGGAGAGAGAGAGAGAAACATCGACGTGAAGGGACACATCGAGTGGCTGCCACCCGCACGACCAACCAGGGCCGGGGACAAACTGCAACCGAAGTACGTGCCCTTAGCGGGAACCGAACCCGGGTCTCTCTGGACCGCAGGCCGACACTCTAACCGCTGAGCCAAACCGGCCAGGGCTGCTTGATCTTCCTTTTAATCCTCTAAACGCACAATTACTAAAACCAAGTTAGACATTTATTTCTTATTGGAGCATAGTTAGTTTTAGAATTCTAGAAAAATTAGGTGTGAGGCGCAATGTTTGAGTTTAGCATTTACTATAATGAATTGGTTGCCATCTTCAACCAACTATGTGGAAGTTATTGATAGTAAACCTCAAAAAGGCATAAACTGTAGTAACTGAAAACCATGTTCTTCCTTAAATTTCTCTAGCGATTGTTTTTAATGTTTAAGTATATACCACCTACAACATTCAGTCAATTTACTCAAAATACACTTCACAACTTACCCTAAGGAATGCAATCTTGCTTCTGACATCTGTCACAATGGCATTCCAACTGTCTACTGCAGCCTTTAATTGAAGAGATTCTAGGTTGCTGGTGTAGACAAGGAGACACAAGAGGAAGTTCTTTCTTTTAATACAAGAAGTAGGTTTCCAAAAAATTCCATTATGTTCTGTAGCATAAATGTAAATAACGTAAAACAACAAAATTACCTCCATCACCTCAAATGGGCACGAAGTTTTATGGAAGGGCTTATTATTAAAAATAAAAACAAGGACTAGAAACATATAAAGTTTTTGTTTTTTCCAAGAGAAAATATAACTTCTGCTTCAGTGCAGCAAGAATTTTTTTTTCTAGCTTAGCATTTTTAGGACACATAAAACCTTTGCACAGGAATCCCTCCACTGAAGTGGGAAGGCAGTGAAAGCCAAACAAGGAAATTGCCCTAGCCATCCAATGTTGAGAATAGGCATCTGGGAAGCAGGTTTTGGACTATTTTAACATTAACCCTGAAATCACAAGGCCACAGTTGGCTTATCAGGCTCTTTTGCAAACTGGAAAAAGATATTCCATATGGCAGGGCAAATGTGAAAAAAGTACCTCTTGTGCAAAGATGAGTTAGATTGTTGCTTCTATGCAGTGTATAAACTGCACAAACAGCAGCTCTGTCAAACACACCCACCAAATGACTTGAGTAGGAATAGCTTTGAGGTGTTTAGGGTCTGCCAGCTCCAAAACAGAGATTTCTAAGCTTTTCAAAAGGCTGTTAAAACATTCCCCAGCCCAGTGTCACCCAGGAAAACAGCTTTAAAAGAGTAGAACAAGCCATCATTGGGATCACCTCATACAACGAAGCTTGATAATATTCTAATTTACAGAGCATTTTTTTCTCCTTCTAGCAAAGAGACTAATCACTTAAAACAGTGCTTCCCTGACCTGAAAGCACATCAATATATCCTGGGAATCCTGGTAAATCTCAGATTCTGATTCTTTAGAAATGAAGACCAATAATCATTAAAATAATAATTATTTAAAAAATAATGATGTGCCCAGACAGGTGGTTCAGTTGGTTGGAGCATCATCCTGTATAACAAAAAGGTTGCAGGTTCAATTCCTGGTCAGGGCACATGCCTAGGTTGCGAGTTTGATCCCCAGTTAGGCGCATAAAGCAACCAATCAATGTTTTTCTCACATCGATGTTTCTCTCTGTCTCTCCCTTCCTCTCTAAAATCAATAAATATATCCTGAGGTGAGAATTAAGATAATAATGATGATGATGATGATGATGATGATGATGCCTTGGTTCCAGAGATTCTAAATTAATTCTTTAAATTTGAAGTTATACCTCATAAAATTATAAATTTAAAGAGAATCTCATACAACCTGCCCAATATTTGAAAATCACCCATTTATAGCACAGCAGGAAATTGCCTTTAACATATGATTTTAGGTGTGTTAATACTGATTTTCTCCCCCCCCGAAGTATTCCAAAAGTATTTAAAATCAAGCCTTTGAAGAGACAATAATTAGAAAAGTTTTCCACTTAGAATCCACTTTGGTTTGTAAATATCTGGTCTTTATACATGTCTGATTGAGATTTTTGATCTATTTCACTGTGGAGGTAGAGAAAAAACTGTCAGCAGCTATTACTGTATTCAGTAGACTTCTCAGTGCTTCAGCAGAAACAACAAAGTAAAAGCATCAAAGTGACTAGGAGACTTTTGAAGTTTAAAAACACAAGGACTTATTCACTCCAAAAACTCTGATGTTATATATGTAAAACACATCACACATTATGTTCAACCTTGGAGCCATTTATGAGTATCTCTGAGACTAAGATGCATTAAGGAAAAGGGAAAAGTTACCTTGCTGCCATTTGAGTCACCCTGGCAAGCTGACTGAGGCATTCCTTTTCAGTCTGCTCTAGATGAAGCAAACCAAAATCTCGACGACACTGCAAGAAATACACCTACAGATATTTGAGAGAAAGAAAAAGAAGATGAAGGTGTCCTTATAAGTGAACACATTTTCTCAATCATTTCAAGTAAAATTTAAGCTATTTTTCAATCTCTTCCAACAACACCTGAGCTGCCTGACCATCCACGATACATTATAAAAGCATTTTCATCAATTCTGCAATTCTAATTTTTTATTTGTAACTGGGTTTGTAAACATTCTAGAAGATTCATTTTTGAATTTGTAAGTACACTGGAACCATTTCAAAAGTTTTTAAACCGACTTTAAAAAATGATGCCTGGTCCCAGAGATTCTAATTTAATTGATACTAGATGTAACCTGGGTACTGAGTTAAGAACGATAAAAAGAATTCCTGCTATTTGTTTGTTTTCTCATGAAGGGGTAAGAAAATAATCAGACCAATAGGCCTTGGAGATCATCTAGTCCAATGTCAATCCCACAGTAGGAATCCCTTTTGCACCGTTATTGAAAATAGTGTATTATTCTCTTGGACAGCATTAAGTGTTTCTAAAATTAATAATGGAAGTAGAAAGAAACTTCCTGACTAAAGCAGTGAAAAACAAAGAATACAAACTTTAGCTCTTAAGATAGTCTGAGATTTTTTTTTCTATTTAGTTAAATCTAGCACTCCAATACTTTACTCTCCAGAGTTTTTTGGTTCAGATGTCACTCCTTGATTGTGGACCTCTGGATTTCTGAGCACTCTGCTAAAGAATAGAGCTTACTATGACAGAGGTGGGAATATCTATAATTATTTTAATGTCAGTGAGATCCCCAAAACTTGAATCTCATTGTATGTCAAGTTTGGTAATCTATAAACAAAAATTATATATATACATATAATCATTTCTTTTGAGACTCTAGTTGTGGGGTTCTAAGCAAACTTAAAGGAAACTGGGTAACTTTCTGGATCCAAAAGATAAGCTGGTTTTTGACACTGGAGTGTATGACATATATGTGCTTTTAGAAGACCTATGTAAGAAGTAGCAAAGAAAAGAGACATGGCAGCAGTGAAATGTTATTCTTCGAAGTTTGCTTGGTGACCTGGCTTCATGAAAATGTTCCTAGATGTCTGCATTTGCTTTACATACTGAAGCAGACCAATTTCTTTAAGTAATTTGAGGAAAAACAATATAAGATCATCAACACTGAAGTAATCATGTACAAAATGCCAATGAGTCAAAAAAGCACAGAGGTTGGAGCTGAATTTTTTAGGCCAGTCCTAGAATGTCTTATTTCTCTTTGGCCACAAAACAGTTTTTTTTTTTAAATTCTTTAGTATATTAGTACACAAGTAAGACTTGTCTCCCCAACCCCATCTCTCTCCTTTTTTTTTTTTTTTTACCTCAGCTGTTAAAGCTCTGCTAGTTTCTGCATTCAGTTTGCTTAAGTATGTTTTAATTGTGCTTTCCATATTATGCTTCTCCATTTCCCACTGAGATCTGAAATACATGATCATTAGAGTCAGTAACATTGTAGCAAGAACAGACTTTTCTACCTTATTCAGGAGGAAGGAAGAGAAGCTACTCAATGAGTAGTTAATGATTTCTTAAAAAGTATACAGCATATAAATGCAAGAGAAGACATTACTTAAGCCTTACTATTATCCTTTACCATCAAGAGCATGGAAGTTTTGGTTTCAGAAGATGGAAGTGGGCAGGACCAGAGGAAGGGTGAGTGTGTGAGAGAGTGAGCGAGTGTGTGAGAGAGTGTGAGTGGACGTGAAGGTGGACGACCAAACTCTTGCAGTGCAGAGACATGGAGCAGAAGGTTCCTGTGATGTGGACAGAGCAGCCGGTTACCTCAGTAAGCAGCTCTTTAGGGCACTTCTCCCTGCACCGTGGGGAGGTCCCACCATTTTGGAAGATCGGGGATCTTCCCTGGGAGGAGGCAGTGAGAGCAGCTAGGGCCCAGCAACCTGAGCCCACCAGGGCACCTGGCACCATTAGACCAGTGGACACTCTGTGTCAACACACAGACCACTGCACGGTAGTGGAGCTCCCAAGGTGCCAGTCACGGAAGCCACAAACAGCCGGGAGCCCAGCACCATCCCCCATAGTAGCAGCCTGATCAAAGTCGAGATATACCCCCAATAACAGACATCCATCCCCAGGTAACAGAAGCACAGACCAACAGCTGAGAACCATCCCCAAAAACTACAGCAAAAGCTGAGGAGTTGAGCCCCATGGGGCAGCAGCACTCCCCAGCCACCAGTGGCTGGACCTGGGGAACCAGAGAAGCCTGGGTGACCCAGCAGCCCACAAGAGAAGTGGGAAGCTGAAGCCTGAGAGGGACTGGTGTGATCCAGCTGCCTGCCCACAGGACCTGCAGGGTGTGGGGGCACCTGTGCAAACAGCTGCTCACAAGATAGGCATAGAGGATGTGAAAATGGAGGCGGAGTGAATGGAAGCTACACCGACTATATTCCAGAACCAAACAAGAATTACAACTAAAATAAAGACAAATCCTCAGAAAAAAGCAACAGAAAAGCAGCAGGACAGGACCATATAACCAGGGACACTGGTAGGATCTGCAGAGGTGTGACAGGGTGGTGGGCTGGGAGCCCACGGACAGCAGCAGTCTTAGCTCTGAGCAGTGCCCTTGGGGAATAAAGACCAAGCCCGCTCAACAGCATAGAGAGCCAGGACAGAGCTGTAAAACAGCCAAAGCCACTCACCTGGGGGCTACTGCAGAGGGAGGGCAGATGGGGCTGGAACTCTGTGGGGACCACCGGGATTTGGAGGGCACTTAGAGATTTTGCTGAGTTGTGGCCACAAAGGATGGTGGCTAGTGTGCTCCTCCACAGAGCTGTGGGGAAAAGCAGCAGTCCCCAACCCTCAGAGATTCAGCCTTTCCCAGGTGAGGCAAAGAAATGAAATGAGGCTCATTAAACAGGCATCTATCCCACCATCTGGAAATCCTCTTAAGCAGAACACTAGGGCTACATTCTATGGCACTGAGTAACTGAGACTACTAGCCTGCAGGGAAAAAAGTTAGAGGATAACTGAATCTTTCCTGGGCTTGCAAATCTACCCAGGAAAGTAAGACGTGACAGTGGTGTTTAACATAAACCCACCCAGGCTCATCCAAACCCAGTAGAGGGAGCCACAAACAGCAGAACACCCACAGGGAAAATTTGGCAGGCTCCAAAACTCACTGAGATAGCCAAAATGGTGAAACAGAAAAATGAATCCCAAATGAAAGAACAAGAGAACTCTATCAAAGATGAGACATATGAAATGCAGTTAAGCAAATTATCACAGGTAGAGTTCAGAGCCATGATCTTGAGGAAGCTCAACAGCATGAGTAAGGACATCAGATATGGAAACATTGAAAACCAACCAAGTGGAAATGAAGAATGACATAGCAGAAATAAAGAACACATTGGAAGGACTAACCAGCAGAGTAGAGGAAGCTGAGGACCAGCTCAGTGAATTAGAAGACAGGGTAGAAAAAAAATCAACCAACCAGGAAACCAAAAGGAAAAACAAAAACAAAAACAAAAAACAGGAAGATAGTTAAAGAGAACTGTGGGACAACTGGAAATGTAATAATATTCGCAACACAGGAGGCTCCGAAGAAGAAGAAAATGGGCAAGGGTTAGAGAATATATTTGAAGAAATAGTGATAGAAAACTTTCCTACCTTATTAAAGGAAGAAGGCATTCAAGATCAAGAAGCACAGACAGCCCCAAGTAAGAAGGACCCAAACAGGCCCACACCAAGACACATCGTAATTAAAATGCCAACAATTAAAGATAAAGAGAGATCCCTAAAGGTAGCAAGAGATAAACAACAGATTACCTACAAAGGAAACCCCATAAGGCTCTCAGTTGACTTAACAGAAACACTACAGGCCAGAAGGGAATGGCATGAAGTAATCAAGGTCATGAAAAACAAGGATCTGAATCCAAGACTACTCTACCCAGCAAGGCTATCATTCAAAATACAAGGTCAAATAAAGAGCTTCCCAGACAAAAAAAGGCTAAGGGAATATATTAACATCAAACCAGCACTGCAAGATATGCTAAAAGAACTGCTGTAATTAGTAGAAGAAATAGGAAGAAAAATAGAACCACACTAAACAAAAATGGCAATAAATAAGTACATATTAATTATCACCTTAAATGTGAGTGATTTGAATGCTCCAATAAAAAGACATAGAGTAGCTGATTGGATAAGAAAGCATGACTCATCTCTTTGTTGTTTACAAGAGACCCACCTCACAATAAAAGACTCACATAGATTGAAAGTAAAGGGATGGAAAAAAATCTTTCAAGCAAATGGAGAGCAAAAAAAGCTGGGGTACCAATACTCATATCTGATAAGGTAGATTTCAAAATGAAGACCATAACTAGAGATAAAGAAGGTCACTGCATAATATTGAAAGGATCTATCCAACAGAAAGATATAACCTTGGTAAACATATATGGAGCACCAACATATATTAAAAATCTTCTAGAGGACTTCAAAGGAGAAATCAACAGCAATACAATCATAGCAGGGGACTTCAACACCCCACTGACATTACTGGATAGATCTTCTAGACAAAAAATTAACAAGGAAACACAGATTCTAAATGAAGTGCTAGATCAAATGGATTAAATAGATATCTACAGAGAACTGCACCCCAAAACTGCAGAATTCACACTCTTCTCAAGTGCACATGGAACATTCTCAAAGATACACCACATGTTAGGGCACAAAGTCTCTACAAGTTCAAGAAGACTGAAATCATTATCAAGCATCTTCTCAGATAACAATGGCATGAAACTAGAAATCAATTGCAACAAGAACATGCAAACACATTTGAACACATAGAGGCCAAATAGCATGTTATTGAACAATGAATGGGTTACCATGGAGATCAAGGAAGAAATTAAAAACTTCCTGGAAACCAATGAAAATGAACACACAACAACACAAAATCTATGGGATGCAGCGAAAGCAGTTCTGAGAGGGAAGTTTATAGCACTAGAGTCCTACCTCAAGAAACAAGAAATATTTCTAATAGACTATCTAACCTCACAACTTAAAGAACTAGAAAGCAAACAACAACAACAACAAAAACCCAGAGCAAGTAGAAGGAAGGAAATAGCAAAGATCAGAGCAGAAATACATGACATGGAGATCAAAAAAACAATTCTAAGGATCAATGAATCAAAAAGCTGGTTCTTTGAAAAGATAAACAAGATTGATGGACGCTTAGCTAGACTCACCAAAAAACAAAAAGAGAGTACACAAAATCAGAAATAAAAGAGAAGAAATAATAACTGACCACAGAAATACAAAGGATTGTTAACAAATATTATGAACAATTATACGGCAACAAATTCGACAATCTAAGCGAAATGAACAAATTTCTAGAAACACATAGTCTCCCAAAACTGAACTGGGAAGAGATAGAAAACTTGAACAGCCCAATAACAACAAAACAAACTGAAGATGTAATCAAGACTCTCCCAGCAAACAAAAGCCCAGGCCTGAACAGCTTCACGGGGGAATTTTGCCGAACATTCAAAGAGAATACCCATTCTCCTAAAACTATTTCAAAAAATTCAAGAAGGAAGACTTCCAAACTCGTTTTATAAGGCCAGCATAATTCTAATTCCAAAACAAAAAAAAAAAAAAACACTACAAAGAAAGAAAACTACAGGCCGGTTTGGCTCAGCAGTGGAGTGTTGGCCTGCGATCCAGAGAGACCCGGGTTCGGTTCCCACTAAGGGCATGTGCCTTGGTTGCAGTTTGTCCCCGGCCCTGGTTGGGTCGTGCGGGTGGCAGCCACTCGATGTGTCCCTTTCACATCGCTGTTTCTCTCTCTCTCTCTCCTCTCTCTCTCTCTCTCTCCCTCCCTCCCCACTCTATCTGAACAAAAAAAAGAAAGAAAGAAAGAAAGAAAACTACAGGCCAATATCCCTGATGAACATAGATGCCAAAATCCTGAACAAAACACTAGCAAATCAAATCAAGCAATACATCAAAAATATTATTCACCATAATCAAGTAGGATTCATCCCAGCGATGCAAGGCTGGTACAATATTTGCAAATCAATAAATGTGATAGACCACATAATCAAAATGAAAGATAAAAATCATATGATCATATCAATAGATGCTGAAAAAGCATTCGACAAAACCCAGCACCCATTTCTGATAAAAACGCTCAGCAGTGGGATCATATCTCGACATAATAAAGGCCATATCTGAAAGACCTACAGCCAACATCATACTCAATGGGCAAAAATTAAAAACATTTCCCTTAAGAACAGGAACAAGACAGGGATGCCAACTTTCACCACTATTATTTAACATAGTACTGGCAGTCTTAGCCACAGCAATCAAACATGAAGAAAAAATAAAAGGAGAGAACCGAAAAGTGGCGGCGGAGTGAACGGAGCTACACAGACCGTCTCCCAGAACCAAACTGGAATTACAACTATAAC